TTCATTTGAAAACAATAAGTTCATTTTGTCTTTTAATTCAGATATTATTGACACTGGTTCACTTTTGGCTTATGATAATATGTATTTACTTGATACTGTGGCCACCTAAAATGAAACCCTTAATACAGAATCTCGTGGTACTAAACGTAAAATTGACAATACTTACTCAGGTGCATTATGGCACAGGTGCTCAGGTCACAATATAATCGTGGCGTTTGGGCTTGTGTTACACTCTTAAAGATATGGTAAGAAGTATGATTTGTCATTCCACCTTACCGGAGCCACTCTGGGGAGAGACACTAAAGACGACCTTATAAGCCAAATGAAAAGAAATTGGACTCTCGAACAGTAAATAGTTATTTTATTGGTTATGTTGAAAGATCCAGGGATATAAATATTATGATCCCACATTAAAGACAATTTTTTGAGACGGGAACTGCTATGTTCTTTGAGAATATTGAGTTTAGGGGGAAGAATAAGATTACGAATTTTATCTTGGAGGAAGAATCGGTAACAAATCCAGAACTGATTCAAACAGTTACTTTTGATAGAGTAAGTTCAGAACCTCCACAAGACATTGATGATGAACTACATACTCAAAATGATTTGATTGTTCGTCAAGAACAAACTCAAGATCCTTAAGAACTTGTGCATCATGAGCTAGGGATACTCCAGTTGCTAAGGAAGACAAGTTTAGTCTAAATCACTGTCCAAAGGAGAATTTGGAAATTGAGGAAATGTAGAAGATTCCCCATGCATCAGTTATAGGGAGTTTTATTCTCAAATATGTACGCGTCCAGACATAACATACATAGTTGGGGTTCTAGGCAGATATTTAAGCAATCCAAGAATAGACCATTGAAAAACAGCAAAAAGGGTCATAAGATATTTAAAAAGAACAAAAGATTATATGCTCACATATAGGAGGTCAAACTAGTTGGAGATCGCTGGGTTTTCTGACTCAGATTTTGTAGGATGTCAAGAATTTGTAGCATGCTATGAGGCATCAAATTATGGAATATGGCTCAGAAATTTTGTCACAGGGCTGCAAATTGTGAAAGACATTGAAAGACTACTTAAGTTATATTATGACAATAAATCAGTTGTATTGTTAAAGAAAGAGTACAGAGTGGACAGATTCTCATAGAACACTTAAGGACAACCTCCATGATAACAGATCCTCTAACTAAAGGACTTCCGCCTAAGGTCTTTCATGAGCATGTTGCTCACATGGGTGTTTTACAGTTTGAGGAATTTGTAGTTTAGTGGGAGTTAGTCATTTTCATATATTTTATGTTCTATGTTTAATTTCATATATAAATACATTGATTTTTAGACATATTTGGTTATCTATAGATATGTGGTTTTTTGTCGTTCATTCATTACACTTTGTACATTAAGGTTATTATATCGATCTCGATAAGTTAAAGTTTGGACCAGTTGAAAATAGACGTGTACAGATCACCTTCACGTAATTTTTCATGCTACACATTTCATGATGAATCCATGTCATTTGGTTATGTCAGGATCAATAATCATTGTTGGTTTTAATTGCGATGATGCAATGAAAAACTAGTTTGGTTCTATATCCTGATATGAACAATGGACAGAACTTTTGGAGTATGCTAAAGGAATATGATGACAATTTTGAGCTCATAAAGTCTAACACATTTGTAAGGTTGTAATGACATATATATTTGTGACCAGTGGGAGATTGTTAGCAAATATTGGGTCATGTATATATATGATACATAATTTAAATGTGTTAGTGTCATTATTTATTAAGCCAAATAATAAAGTGATCTGACTAAATTAAAGTTTTGGCTAAAGGTATATGTCATGAAAATAAAATTGTGTAGAGACCATAGAGTAATTTCTAATTTGATGAGGGGCCAAATTAGAAATACTAAAACTTAAGTAATTAACCTAATTCTGGTTATATAAAGGGTCATGGTCCCCTTCTGGGAGCACACACAGAACGTAAGTTTCAATCCCGTTCTTTTCTTTCTATCCCCATCAAGAAAGAAAATCCAAAGGGAAAATACAGGTGCTCTCCAGGTGGAAGACCATAAGATCAATAGTGTTCTACAAAGGATATCATCATTATGGCTAATTCAGGTACGTTTTCACATTCAGTTTACAACATATTTATGAGTATGGGATTATATTTATGTTTGATAGTTAAAATCAAAATCAAGATCATAACAGTGAATTACTAATTCACTAACAGTTATGTGAACGATTAAGGGCAATTGAGTTAGAAAAAGATGTATTTTGATCAACTGTTGAAGAACAAGTAGCTAAATTTCTTCACAAGTTGTTGTCGAACTTAGTGCACACAGAACAATTGTGTGACATTAGACGTCAAACATTCATTACGTTATGTGAACGATTAAGGACAATTGAGTTAGTAAAAGATGTATTTTGATTAACCGTTGAAGAACAAGTAGCTAAATTTCTTCACATTATTTAACATAATGTGAAGAACAAAAGTGTGTCATTCTTTTTCCATCATCCTGGGGAAACTGTTTCTAGACATTTTCATAATGTATTGAATGCAATATTAATGTTGGAGCCCAAATTCTTAATTCAACTATGTGAGACTGAAGTCTAATCTCATGTTCTAAATAACAATCGATTTTACCCATACTTTAAGGTTATATAATCCAAACTCAAATGTGAATTTACATATATAATGTATTTATTGTTGTTCATTCTCGATTTTTTTTTTCACCCTTTAGGATTGTTGAGAGGCAATAAATGATACTCATGTATGTGTTAGGTATCCACAAGTAGATGTCCCTCGTTAACGGGGAAGAAAAGATTAGTCAATACAAAACGTATATTGCAATATGTGATTTTGACATGAAGTTTATATATGTGTTAGTTGGGATTCACAAATTTCAAATGATACCCTTATTTGAAAGGATTCATTCATTATTCCACAAGGTGAGTTGTATTGATTTTATTGTACTTGATTTATGGTCACTTAGAAACTATTGAAATAATGTTAAGTATAATGATTGTAGGAAAATATTACTTTGGGAGTGTTGGCTTTATGTTAAAGGAAAATATACTAACATTGTATTGTGGTGTCAAAAATCACCTAAAAGAGTACACTTAAAGAGGTTCACAAAATTCTAGAGAGTTGTTCAATGTTCGTCACGCATCACTTAGAAATGTTATTGAAAGGACATTTGGTGTTTCAAATAAACGATTCCTGATCATAACAAGTGGAACTGAAACACATTACTCATTGGAGTCGATAACCAAAATAATCTTAACATGTTGTATTATTCACAACTATCTCCGTGGAGTCGACAACGATAACTTCTTAATAGCTAAGGTTGATCGAGAATTGATGGACCAAGATGTGCACCCATCTGAGACTCAAGATCGAAATGATGATTATAGGTTAGAAATGATGATTATAAACTAGGGTCAAACCTTAGAGATTTTATTATAAACAATATATGAAGAGACTATAAAAATAATTAATATATGGTTGAAAACTATTTTAGTGAGTTGTATTTATGTAAATATGTGCTAGACAAATTTTTAAATATTTATGTCATGTACTTTTATTTCAATTTATGTTTTCATTTACAAGTTATAATTAATTGTAGTATGTAGTGTAACCAATCTAAACTTAATTGTTAGCAGAGGTTCCAACATGGTTGATCATAAAGTTAATCATTTGAATGAACCATTTGACGGTTATAGAATTCTTTTCAATATAATTTATATATTTATTTGTTTATCGCTCTATTTATATTTATTATTAAATATGGTCATGACATTATAACATTGCATTTTGAATATTTATTTTTATTAACTTTGTATTTATTTATTACATATTTTTTTCCAATCATTTTAAAATTTAGTATGCACTTTATTTTATCAAATTTTATTCTTAATCATATACTTAAGTTTAAACTTTATAATTAATTTAAAATAATTTTATTAATTTAAATTACACTTTTGTTTCGTTTAAACAAATTATGTCAATTTTTTTCAAATTAGTTTCCAATAATTATATTTTACTATAAATTTATATATTTTATATTATATATTACATCTAATTTACACATTATTTACATCTTTTATATTTTGTTCTAAAATATTTATTTAAGATAAGGATAAAATTATAATCTTACTATCTTATCAATTGAATTTTAATTTTTTAATCCATCAAATCAATTATATCGTTTACAAACTTTCGTACACTTTTATGTCATTTCTCCTTGTTTCTAACCAACTTCCTCTTAATTCAAACAAATCTCAATTTTACTTATCTTTTCCTTGGAATTCACTCAATTTTCAATCCCTCCTCATATTCATCCTTTAATCTAAACACACATTAAAATTTTTTCAATCTCATATTCTATACAATGATATTATTAATATTATTAAAATTTATTACTATGTTTAGAGTATTATTCATAATAAAATTCTAATTTATCACAATTTTATTTTAAAAAACTATTTTAGTAGATTGAAAAATAAAAATATATATAAATTATTTTAATCTTGACTCAGCAAATAATATAAGAGTTACAAGTATTCCAAAATATCAATTAATAACCACTTTTTTATTATTTTCTTTTAGAAAACTAAATTCATTAAACTATTTTTTTTTAATATTTTCATATTAACGAGAACAATGTGTATAAGCCATCAAACCAAGTGGGTGAAGGATGTTGTTGAATTTCAAAAGCTTTGTGAAAATGTTTGCATTACCTTGTTTAGAGTTTTAAACTTCATCACTTTCAGAAAGAATATAAAACAGTTTAAAAATTGTTATAAAAGTTATTTCAAAAAGTTGTGGTATGGTGGTGAGTACTAGCGTCTGTACCCGGTGACCCGGTTAGGCCCTCGGCAACGGCGATATTTATTTTATTTTTTTGAAAATTTTCCTGGTTTTGTTTTTCATGAATAAAGAAAAAGAAAGGCTTAAACAAAACTAGCACTGGAAGATAAGAGCGTTACGAAAAAAGGCCATGGGGTGGGGTCACCTCGGAAGGCATGGCTCAGACTCCGACGACGGCACGGAGGCCGGTCCCAGCACCGCTGCCACCGAGCCACGGCGGTTCCCTCTGGCGGCTCAGCCGGAAATGATGCGCGCCGCCGAGAAGGACGATCAATACGCCTCTTTCGTCTACGAAGCCTGTCGCGACGCCTTTCGCCACCTCTTTGGTTTCTCTCTCTTTCTTCGGTTAATATAACGCTTCCGATTCCGAATGAAGTTTCAATTAACCTTATTCTGTTGTTGATGTAACTCTTGCCACAGGTACCAGAGTTGCGGTGGCTTACCAGAACGAGGTAACCTCTGTCGTTCAGAGCGAGATTTGCGTTTTAACACTTTGAATGTAATGTGAGTAACCGCATTTTCGTGTTGATTTCGTCGTAGACGAAGCTCTTAGGACAGATGCTTTACTACGTTCTCACAACTGGCTCGGGACAACAAACCCTTGGAGAGGAATACTGCGACATCACTCAGGTTTCGTACTTGAAATTTTGAAATTCGGTTGAGGATTGGATTTGCCTTTCGAATTTGGATTATACTTTTACACTGTTCAAGGTTTAAATTGCCTTAACTGTTTCATTTCACTGTGAACTTTAATATGGTGAAAAGAGTGTGGACAAATACCACTGATTGGATGGAAATACGGTTGCTAATATCTCAAAAACCTTGAGGCTGCGATCTTATTGCGATTACAGTTCATGTTTTAAGGCTCTTATATTGTTGTATTCTTGAATTGATTTGATGAATCGACCTACCGTTCTGACGTGATCTCAATCTTGTTGATTTATTAGGTCGCAGGAACTTATGGACTTCCTCCTACGCCTGCGAGGCGTGCTCTTTTTATCGTATACCAGACGGCTATTCCATATATCGCAGAACGAATTAGGTTGATTTTTGCCTGATTCATTGGATATTTACTTTTCATTCCAATTTATGTGGTTGAGCTGTGTTTCTGTTAAATTTTATGATGACTTTATTGTTTGTTAATTCCACAGTTCTAGAATTGCCTCACGAGGCATTGTCCTAGCTGACTCAGAGTCTGCTGAGGGTTTTGGGGAAAATGTACACAGGAGCCATGGTTCTCAGATTACTGGCACTGGTCCTTTATCCTCGTCAGGACAATCTGTTACAACTCTGTCAAGGTTGAAGGGGAGACTGAGTGCATTTTGGTTGCATTTTGTTCAGAGATGGCCTACGGTATCTTAATCCCAGCTGATAGTTTGCACATTCAATCACTGATCTGGAAGTCAATATTCGTTTTTAGAAACACTTGATCATTTTTATTGCAACCATAAATTATCAGGGAATTTACTGGTTAGGTTATAATTGGCCACTCCTATGGGACACAGCTTTTGTCTCATCTCCTTTGATTAATGTTTTCTGACAAATTGACTTCATCTAACTGGTGTAGTTAAATCCAATTCTTTGTGCGAGCGTTTTCTTCCGCTGAATCTAGTTTTTATGCCCTGCCACCAGATGCTCCCTTTTGTTCGTGAGTTGTTGCAGTTGGCTATTCGAGCTAACCTCATGCTATTCTACTTTGAAGGTGATTCTTTACTTGATAAGCTCATGGCAGTTGTGAATGTGTAAAAACTAAAAACAAGTTTTCTAAATTTGCAGGCCTATATTATCATATATCCAAACGTGCTGCTGGTATTCGTTATGTATTTATCGGAAAAGCATCAAACCAAAGACCTAGGTAATGTCTTTTGAAATTTTAAGATTTAAAAAATATGTTGACAATTTGGGAAATCCCTTGAATTTGCTTCGTTTTACATAGTATGATCATGATAGTTATCTAGTCTGACATTTTCTTACTTTAATTTAAATTTTTATTTTTTTCTCGTTTTCATATACTCAACCTTGGGTTAGGTGCCCCCCCCCCCCTGAAATTGCTTTGTAAAAAAGGTCTGTCATGTGAATGACAGATTGTGTTGTTATTCACTCAGTTTCCTTTCGTATGAAGCATAAATGTGACATTTTTATAATTGGAAATTATCTTTGTTTAATTCCACCCAATTCATAGTTCCATAGTGATGCCTAACATGTTACTTTATTAAAAAAACGTATTCCACCTACCTAATTTAATCTATCATTTCTTATCATTCGATATAGTAATCTTCTCTTGACATTTTAGACTTACTGCTCCTGTTCTCTATAATTATGCTCCTTTGCAGATACCAAATACTAGGAGTATTTCTGTTGATTCAACTTTGTATAATAGCTGCTGAAGGGCTCCGTCGAAGAAATTTTACTTCAATTGCTGGCTCAGTTCATCAAGCATCCTTTGCATCCCACGATAGATCAGCAGGTTATTGGTGATGAATATTTGTTCAGTTATTTCTTTTCTTTTTTTCATTTTCTTAATTTATACATCTAGCAATATGCATTGGACATTTTTTTATCTTTCTTCCTTTTCAGTTAGTTTTTTTTTCATAACCTGATTCCGTTACCACTTTTTACAGAACATTATTTACCTGTTTTAAACGAAGAGGGTACTCTGGCAACTCCAGATGTTGACAAAGGAAGTTGGGTCTCTGATTCTTCATCTTCCGAGGTTCAATTCTCTCATTAACAATACTTTACTGCATTTTTAATTAACAATACTTTACTGCATGCTTGTTGCTTTGACTGAGGTAAATTAAATAAGGCCAGCTGTGCAAATATTACCTGGAAATTTAACGGGATATGATAGACACACTTGCGTTACATGAGCTCTGTTTGGAGAACTTTCTTCATAAGTACTTCTAGAAGAGAAAAGTAAGAAGAAAAAATAAAATCAATTTTTCTATAAGCTAAAATTAGATTACGCATGAACTAAATTATTGAAGCTATTTCATATTAGCTTCTCCAGAATTTGATTTTAATTCATACATAAGTTAATTTTAGTATATGTTGATTTCATTTTTCCTTCGTATTTTTCTATTTTATAAGTGTTTATGGATAATTTTCCTCCAAACAGGCTTGTAGTTGTGTTTGAATTGCTGATGGTTTTGTCATAGAATCAGAGAAATGGCTTCTTTTATGCAGTCAGACAAGTATTAAATAAAAAATTAGATTTCTTTTGTCTGAGATTTGAGAACGCCAATTTCAGATAACGCTTGAATTTTAGGTAACTAAAACCATTCAATGGGAAGTATGAAATGTTCCCTTATCTTTGCCCTTATGAGACTAAGTAGTTAAAGCCTGCAAAGGTGTAAGTAACAAAAATAGAGTGTATACTTTGTGTATGTAGATATGGTTCAACTAGTTTTGTTCCTTGATGAATTAGAATTTGTATGATCTAGATTTTGTGATTACCATGCTTGCCGGCCTCAACTTGTATGAGCCTTAATGAAGACTATCAGTGCTTTTGTTATGATTCGAATTGTTCACACTTAAAGCGATTTACTATGCGTCGAATGCTGTTGATAAAAAAAACACCTAATTATGTTCATTGGCAAATGCTAAGATCCAAAGAGTTTCACATGGCACAATTAAATTAAAAGCCTCCAGAGAATGAGTTAGTTCCATCATGTCATCTCGAGCATCACGTGTTTGATAAATCTCCTTTTTTATTTGCAGCATCATGCAGCTAGTGGGGTTAGCAAGTGCACACTTTGCCTGAGTGATCGTCAATACCCAACAGCCACTTCCTGTGGCCATGTATTCTGCTGGTATGTCTTGGTGCATTCTTACTGCTATGCTTTTCATGGACACGACTCTTTCCTTTTCTCACCTTCTGTCTGATGTTATCCATGTAGGAACTGTATCACAGAATGGTGCAATGAAAAGCCAGAGTGCCCTCTTTGCCGCACCCCCATAACACACTCGAGTCTAGTTTGTGTATATCATTCGGACTTCTAGAATCTGCTCCTCTTCATGTACATATATAGATGATAGCATCAAAGGCAACATTTTCTTCATCCTGGATTTGATAAGGACTGTATGAACATTTGAGTAAATCATTTTTGTACTAGGATGTCAATAATCAATTTAATTATACTATTGGGTTCAAGTTTCATATATTTTTAATATAATCTTGTAATGAATTGGATATTCTCTCCACAGCCGGTGGTGCAACTGAGATTTATGCCAACAAGTCTGTTGCTCAAATTGTTTTAGAAACATAACTGTAACTAATACAGTATTCGTCCGATCTTAACTTTTCCTTCTACAAGGGATGCATTTTTATTCCTAACAATGTGCTTCAGTTATTTATTTAATTTCCCGTAGTTCATGGCAAATTCAGTAAAGAAATGAAAAAAAAAAGAATAATGTCAATGGAGATGAAGTTATTACTGGCCCAATTCGGCTCATACATACATGCCTATCTTGGCTCTCTCTTAACCTTTTAATGGGTGTTTAGTCGAAAAAAAAAAAATCATACATGAGAAGATGAATCCTGAGAATTAGGATTTTTAGTTATGATTAGTTAAAAATGTTTGGTTAATTAAAAATATTATTGAATATGTTTATATAAGTTTTCTTAATTTCTTTAATATGTTCTAGTGTCTTTAAAACACTAATTAGCAAAGCACATAATAAAGTTATAGACAAGGCTTATGTAAACAAGAATATGAATACATTCTAATTTGTGTTATACTTTTTAGTAATAAAAACGCAGGAGAAATATTAAATCTTATTAAAAAAAATAGTTAAAAAGTATTAGAAAAATAATTAATTACATTTAATATTTGAAAACTAGGTAAACATCAATATCGACATCCTCCTCTTAGGTTTTACCGTCGCGCTTCACTATATATAATGAAAGAAAAAACGAAACCCTCGATTGCAAGGAGAAGGTTCTCGATTTCCCCATCTTTCCCAATATAAATTCAAATGACGACGGTGTTGGATTCTTCCTCTCACGTCTCAGTAATTGCTTTGTTTCTTATATTTTCTGTTAATTCTAATTGTTCATATGTTTGATATTATTCCCCATTATTAGGCTATAGAATTACACTTTAAGTTGGTACTGTTGCGTTTAGGGTTCGTTTTGGATCTCACCGTTAAAATATTTTTTACATCTGTTTATTTATTGATTGATCTATTCTAATCTGTCAAATCCTTTTTCCGTTTTAAAGCAATTTCAATTTCCAAAACCAGTAATCTTTACAGCGAGTTTGTTCTTCATATATTCCTTTCTCGTGTCTGAGGATGACGATATTGTTTTCACAACCATTGACGCCAGGAAATGTTACTCAAGGATGAAATGAATCGACATTCCTTTTGCATTTAGTGTCAATGGACATTTCACATTTGATTCTTCGATGGGACGATAATGTGTCTGGACTTGCAAAATTTGCAAATATCTTTACCTTTCTTCAATCCATTTTCATATGTTATGTTGGAAATTCGTTGTCTGTATTCACACATTCAAATAAAAATGGGAATGGTTTTCATTTTGAATGCATATTTTAAGAGTTGTTTGATCTGTGATTAGTCGAATTCGTGAATGCTGGAGTAACCTGACTGCAGGGAATCCTTATCCAATGTGGGTATAGTTCCTTTTATTTTGCAAAGCTAATTGTTCATCTTTGCAAAATTTCTCATTTGTTTCTGAAAAAAAAAAATTATTTCTCCAAAATGAGCGGGTACGAATGCGCACTAAGTGCATAATTCAACGATGATTTGATTGTAATGATTTGGTGGAGAGAAAATTCATTCTAGCTCATACATTTTTTTGACATACGAGCATTGCTATCCTCCTTGGCTTAAGTATTTGTTAGCCTTGAGTGGTTCAATAATGAAAATAATGCTCAAAATAAAGAGTTGTTGGAGTTAGTCAGGCTTCTTGTACTTTTATAAATGTGCTTGGAGTTTGGAATATGTTCCCACATTTCAATATAATTTTCTTTTACAGCATGTATGCATTCTAGCATATGCTTGTTGACGTATGAGCATTACTATCCTCCTTGGTTGTTATCAATAGCCTTGAGGGGTTGAACAATGAAAATGATGCTTAAAATAAAGATTTGTTGGAGTTAGTCAGGCTTCTTGTGCCGTTGTAAATGTGCTTGGGGTTTGGAGTATCTCTCCACATTTCATGTATAATTTTCTAACACATGCTCCTGTGTTAATTTTTCTCACATTTTTACTCTTGCAGTATTAAAGGTCTAGGACAATTTTATAGTGTTTGAAGCTTCTATTGGTAATCCTTCTCTAGAAAACATCAATACTATCTCTTGTTGAGAAATGCTAGTTTTGTTATTGAGAAATGATACCTTATATACACTATTTTGAACATTCTTTCTTTTTTATATGGACTAAGATTTATTGGGATTTACTAAGTCTTAAAGTTTTATAATTTCTGATCTATTTTGAATTAATTACATGTTACGATAGAGTGTTATTTCCCCTCTTATTCGTTATTTGCACCATGTTTTAACATTACTTGAGTAGTCTGGTTAAACAATTTTTAGGCTTTTGCAAAGTTTTAGGAAAGAGACTTGAAAATGTTTAGTAAGCATTTAGGAATTTTGATTACGATCCAATATCCGTCAATTTTAAATAATATTCTTCAAATGATATCTGGAGGCAAGTTGTTTACTTGAACGAATATGACATTTTTAATTTCAACTATTTACTTAGAATTGGAATATATTAACCTTCTAAGCTCAGGCTAAATTGATTTTTTCTTAATTATTCTATAATATTAGGGCTTTTTTAAGTTTATTAATGTGCTTGTAAGCATTTAAATTAACATTTTAGGGTAAAATTTTAATATATTAAAAATAATAACAGTAATTCCAAAAACTGATTACACTGGATTTTATTAGCTTAAAATTTTATCTTTTAATTTAGTAGTAGTTGTAGGAAAAAAAATGCTAATTTATGTTGTTTCGTAAATAAAATATTTCAATGGAACAACAAAATAAGAATAAACCTTTACTATGGACATGATATGTTTTCAACTGCCCAATGAATTTATTTATTTTAGCACAGGTTCAGGTACTCAATGAGGCCTGACCCAAAAGCAAACTTAAGGTCCAAATCAGTGAAGCTTAATCACTAAGCCTGCTACTTGGATCCAGACCATTCAATCCTGACCCAAATATCACATACTGGTGACAATATGCCGGATTCGTAAGTCTCTACCTGACTGAAGTCTGAACTAAATTTGTATGATTGTTATTAAGTATATGTCTTACTTATTAATCTAATTTTTCTACCTAAAAGTCTAGTCTAATCTAATGTATGTGGAATAATTTATTTTATAAAATTATTTATCAATAAATCTAATTAGATCAAAGAATCTAAGAAGAAAAACAATGTCCTTACAATAAATACAGTTTTTATTTAATTATAAATTATTGTATATAATAAATTGATTTAATTTTATAATAATTATAAAAGCTATACTAATAATAATTTACAATTGAATAATATTATAGAAAATTTCTTACCTATTCAAATTATATTTATAATTTTATACTTATTTTAATCATTATAATCATATTTATTTTTATATTGCGGATCTTTCAAATTCAAAAGTCCAATATTTTTAAAATTACATTATTGGTATTACAAAATTTATTATATATATATATGTATATGTGTGTGTGTTATATATTAAATATATAATATATAAACATATCTGTGTGTTAAGCCTAATTGATTTTTTTTCTAAAGCTTATCATTTGGGACTTTTAAAAAATATTATTATTTTTTAAAACACAAGTTAGATTATGAACAGGCCTAGGCCGCAAAAAGGGCACCTGACCTATTTACTTCAACTCCTAATTGGGTTATTTTTGGATATTTCTTTCTGTCTCTGTTTAAATATTCTCTGCACTTCTGTTAAATATTCTTGGTTTCATTTATAATTATGTTTTTTGTATTAAGAATTTAACTTCTTTATTTTATACTAAGATTTTTTTTAATCAAGTATTTATTTTTATGTTTTTAATCGAGTTTATTCAAGATTAGGAACTATCCCATTTATAATATCATGACTTTGATAAAATAACGAGCTCTTATTTGAAATTCGTACTATGTAAATTAATTTAAAAAATAAGATGACACATCAAATATTTAATATAACTACATATTATTAGATATTTTTGAGAAAAATAATATTTTGTAATCAAGACTTCTTTGGAAGATTTTTTATATAATAAAGAACAAGTTAGGATAAATGATTTAATGAGTAGGTCATTAAATTAAATCTTTAACTTGGTAGGTATTTTTGAAAGGGACAATAAATAAGGGATATTCATGAGTGAGATCATTTATTTAAAATCATAATTCTTAAAATTTATTTTTTTCACTTTTATTCAATAAGATATTTGAACTAAGTTGGATTCTAATTAAATATTAAAATTTAATTTAATAGTTTGATTAATATAAAATAATGAATTATAGTTTAATGCATACATCTAGTGTTAATTTTGGGGGTGTTTTAGCTAGGTAACTTCTTACCTACATAGATGTGAAGCACTAAAATTGGTTATGGTGATATGGTATTGAGTCACTTGCTCAACAACAAAACAAAAATAGGATGATGAAAGTAAACACAGACATCCTTTCTTTCCTTTATTGATTGTATGTATAAATGTTTTGTGACTTTTACATGTTCGCATTGTCAAACTCCTCCATCAACTATCACAAGAACAGAAGAACAATGTCATGTTCGTTTGTTAAGAGTCCATACACGCATCATAAGAACTACTTACATTTATATATTTTACCTACTCAGTTAGATTTTAAGATATGGACAATGTTATTAAATATGTATCACTGATCTTTTCTATTTTTAATTTACTACATATCTACTCCCATACAAGTAATTATAATTTCATTTAAATAAAATATAAAATTTATGAATGATAAGAATTTTAAAGCAAAAAATATTAGTATTAAGT